CAGACAACGGTCACCCTGGGATCAGGAATGGAACAGTATTGTCTTTAGTGATGAGTCTCGATTTTGTTTAGGCATGCACGATGGTCGTGCCAGGGTTAGAAGGCGACGTGGTGAAAGGAGGAATCCACAGTTTTTTGTTGAAAGACCTGTTCATCACACTGTTGGAGTTATGGTTTGGGGTGCTATAGCTTATGGTTCCAGGTCACCTTTAATCTTCATTAGAGGTAACATGTACGCGCAGCGTTATATCCACGAAGTTCTAGAACCCTATCTTGACACCCTGGCAGATCCAACTTTCCAACAAGATTATGCCCGACCACATGTTGCAAGAGTCACAATAGACTTCTTTCAACATAATTGAGCACGTGTGGGATATGATGGGTAGGAGATTGCTCAATTCGCAACGTCCTCCTCAGACCCTAGAAGCACTTCGAGAGGAGTTGGTGGTTGCCTGGAATGAGATACCACAGGAGGACATTGACCACCTGATCAGAAGCATGCCTAGGCGCGTTGGAGAATGCGTAGCACATCAGGGTGCATCCACACATTATTAAAGGTCAAAGGGCTTTAAAGCAGTGCAATCATTTTGAAATTTTTATCATTTACTTATTATGCTTCATTAACTACTTATACAAAATTTTATTAAAATAAAACCATTTAAACTGGGTGTTCGGATTTATATGTCACTTAGTATACATTGTAATGATGTGGTTACAAATATGTGTGTCTTGCTTGACGGTCCGCGAGGAAGTCCCTTCTGCGGCGGTGTTGCTTCTCGGCAGTCGTGACGTCAGCGCGACGGCCAGTGGCGGAGGCGCAGGTTACAAAATGCTTGTACAGCATCTGTAAAATGCCACCAAAAGAAACTGAAAGCTCAATTTAGCCAAATAATGGACTAATGCCGTTTTCTCCCGGTACCCTTCAATGTCTTCATCTAATTATTTGTTATTAATTAGGTTTGTATTTTGGCAAGGGCTGCAAAGGCAGCTGAAACGTTACCGAACTGGTTGATTCAGCATTTGTGGTTTCATTTATTATCGCTCACGAGAGTCGAGTACACTCCCTTCTAAGGGAAGAGGATTTCATCTGCGTTTAAATTGGATCACCTACTTGTAATTTCAAGAGAAATGCAATTTCTGTTTGATACATAAAAATAAGATATTACTACAGCACTGCAGGCGGCAGGAGAAAATTTTTCTCTTGGCTATGGATGTTGTGATTATCCGTAGGTGGTAGATGGTCTCTGACTGTCGAACGCGGAGGTACCACCCTGCGGATCTCGTAGGCGGAGCCAGAATGAGTGTTCACTGGCCAGAGTCCGTGTGGCGTTCCCCCTTTCCCCTGTATCCCCCTATAGCCCCACGGTACCCAATGGGTGTTTAGGCCTTAGGCCTTCGTGGTAGTTGGAGTATAAAAAAAGCAATGAAAATAATGGGTTGTCCAATAGGGACGCAGGAAAGTAAACGTCATCTTTGTTTTCTGTCACCGACATATCGTTTTGTTAGTTGAATGTTTACCATTGATCGCTATGGAGTCGTATTCGATTGAAGACCGCATTAAAGTTATTCAAGAGCACTACAAAAATGGTGCAAAAATAAAAAACACGTTTCGCGCGCTTCGTGAACATTTTGGTCGCAACAACCGCCCAAACGAAACAACCATCGGTCGTCTGGTGCATAAGTTCGAGGCAACAGGTTCTGTGGCAAATCTGCCAGGCTCTGGCCGGCCAAGGAGCGTTCGCACACCGGAAAATATTGCTGTTGTGAAGGAGAGTGTGAGAGACGATCTGAAACAATCAATAACGCGTCGATCCCAAGAATTGGGCATTTCGAGAACCAGTTTGCTCCGCATTCTCCACAAGGATTTGAATGTACACGCCTACAAGATCCAATTGACGCAAGAGCTGCGTCGGGCCGACCATTTTTTGCGCCGAACGTTCTCAGATTGGCTCCTTGAACACCGCCAAATTGATGCCAATTTTTCATCAAAAATCATGTTCAGCGACGAAGCGCATTTCACTTTGAATGGGACGGTAAACAAGCAAAACTGCCGCATCTGGGCGAACGAAAATCCCCGTGAGTATCAAGAGCAGCCGATGCATCCTCAAAAAGTGACTGTGTGGTGTGCATTGTGGTCAAAAGGCATCATCGGACCTTACTTTTTCGAAAATGCGGCCGGAGGCGCCGTTACCGTCAATTCTGAGCGATATCACGTGATGATAGAGGACTATTTTTTGCCGCAACTTGATGGAATGGATATGGACGATGTTTATTTCCAACAAGACGGTGCAACATGCCACACAACCAACGTCAATATCCATCGATTGCAGTCCTTCTTCGGTGATCGCGTGATTTCGCGCAGAGGAAATGTGCCATGGCCACCAAGATAGTGCGATTTGACTCCCTTGGACTTTTTTTTATGGGGATATTTGAAAAGCAAATTCTACTCAACAAACCAGCCACCCTCCAAGAACTCAAAAACAACATCATTGCCGAGATAAATGCCGTAGAACCGACCATGTTGCAAAATGTCATTGAAAATTTCGACCATCGCGTGGACGTCTGTAAATCCAGTCGTGGCGAACATTTGAGCGATATTATTTTTCATACATAAATGGTATAAATGAACCTTCAAAATAAAGTACCCAACTTGATTTGAATGCGTCCGTTTTGGACAACCCCATACAGTTATACCACAGTTCGTAATCACTAGGGAACGTTCATAGCATCATAAAAAACTGTATTATAATAGAAAATGGACGAGCAATAAACGTGAATTTATGTTCATAACTATGGGTGCATTATACTTAAAACACATAACCCATCCGAATAGAAAAGCCTCGTTATTCGTGAAATCGCCATATCATAGAAATCGTAAATCATACACCTCATGTTTGTTCAGATTATTCAATTTATTTTTGGAATAAATCTTTTGTTAAAAAGCTGTTTATATGTTTCTTATTAGCTCCATAAGACGAGAAGTCTGAACCCGATTTTTATCTCCAGATCTGGTGAGTAACGAAGAAAAAAGTAATTATTTTCAAGCAAACTCCTAATTTGTTATCCGCCTTTTTGTCGAACAGTACAGAATTTTTTAACGCAGCTTTCATTATCGTACGTACTTAGCGAGATTTTGTAGAATTTCGATTCGAAAACAGTTTCCCTGTAAATAAGGAAGGTATCATCTGTTTTTGAGTTGGTACACTTACTTGCAATGTTTGAAAGAAATGGAATTTCTATCGTGATAAATAAAAATATGATATTACTACAGCAATAAAAATGCACGTAGAAACATTGTAATCATAGAAATATATGTTCAGTTCATGCAATTTATTCGTGGAATAAACCTCTTGATGAAAAGCTGTTTATACGATCTGTATTAGCTTCACTATAAATTCATTACTTAATATGTTTCCCCTTGTTTATATAGGCATTATTCTGATTTACTGGGTAAGAAATATTTCTTTGCTATTCTTAAGAGGAGAATCTTGTATCTGATTTTTACCTTTAGATCTTCGCAAATGTTTCATTATTTTATCAGTCTTTTCATTGGTATTTTACAGGAGGCTTTTGACCACAAAATTGAATTACATCCTTTTGAGTACATTATTTGACGAGTAATAAAAGACCGCTTTCAACAGTTTAGCGTTATCGGAAGAGCTTTCATCCAAATGTTTCATTTTGTTTGGAATACTCCTTCATACACAATCGCTAACTTAGTAGCTTAGAAGCACAACTCCTCTACCTTCACCCTGCTTCTACGTGCTGAGGTTGGTTAGTAACGTTGTTACACATGACATGTCTAAAATGAAAACAAAATCTTGTATGTATTCACACCCTGCTTCCAGGTGTTGCGATTGGTTAGTGACGATGTTAAACATAATATGTCTGAAATGAAAACAAAACCTTCTATGTCTTCACAAACTATTGCTATGATAACGCCAATGCTTTTATTCTACATCAGCGTCTTTTTACACTTTTACGCTATGGTAAGGTCTGTCAGGATCACGTCTGAACCACAAGACGTAAACATTAACGCACTTACTAACTGCAACGCCAGAAAGGTTATAGGCATGGTTAATATGTGAAAATATATAGGTCGCTCAAGAAGTATTCATAAATCAAAATATCACGGAAAATACGTTTTCCAGAGAAAAAGGTTGTGTCACAAAATTGTAAGGCTTAAGAAGATTCATCCACCGGTGATCTAGAACGTGACCTTGACTACCATTTTCAAGGTAATTTGGAGTTTACAGTTTTATGTAATGAAACCCTTATTTTTCACAACGGAAATGCAAAGAGCGGTAAATTTTGCTTCAAAGTATATCTTGACCTTGACCATGACCTTAGCGGGGATTTGAAAATAGAGAAAGGACAAAAAATACATTTCATAAAGGAAAACGGTAACATAGTTGTAAGGTTTGAAAGTACTCATCTAATGGTGACCCTGAACGTCGCCTTGAGCATGACCTCAGTTAAAGGTCGATTCAGTTTTCTGACACCTAAAATTTAGAGAGGAAGGAAGTTCAAGTGTGTCCATGACCTTGATTATGACCATCAAGGTTATTTGAAGACCAAATTGAATCCTTGGCAATGAACCTGGCCATGTAATTCAAGGTCGATAGATAATTTTCTTAGTAAACTTATAACATTTTCTGTCGGGGTTATAAAATAGCGAAATATTGATATCAATTTATTGTTGCATGAAAAATGTTCATTAGATTACTTTGGATATTGTATTTCTTCCTTCCGAAACGCAATCTCCTTCATACAAAACAAATGACCTAATCTGAACAATACTGTGATACGAGTATCGTTTATTTTTTAGTTCGTATTACTTTGTATCGAATTCGATTTATAAAAACGGGGTTCCGATTAAAGGTTTGGCGAATGAACGACAAAACATGTGATTCGAAAAAATGTGTCATCATTGACCCTTCCTAAAGCTACATTGGATGTATCTCGTAAATTTTTAACTAAACCGCTTTTTCTTATTTTCAGTTGCTGTCGTGGTTGCGTTTTTCATCTGCTGGGCCCCTTTTCATGCTCAGAGGCTACTCGCCATATATGGGGAGCACACTTCTCTGTCCATCACAACTTTCGAAGTGCTGACATACATTTCGGGAGTGCTCTACTACCTCTCCACTACAGTCAATCCACTGCTCTATCACATCATGAGTCACAAGTACAAGGCTGCTTTTAAGGTAGGATGTTATTATTTGATCACTTGATCTGGTTGCCATCATATAAAGTATCGGATGACACACAAAACATATATAAAGTAGTGTACTAACAAATGCTACTCCTGAGGGATAAGCTTAACATAATCGAATTTGAGAAGAAGCAAGGTAAAATTAGATGTCCACTAAAAATGGCATATAGCTGAAGTTCACGAGTTTGTATTCTTCTACTATTCTTGAAACAACAGAGCTAATGTGCGGCGAACAATAACAAAAGTCGACACTTAATAAAGAAAATTAAGGAGCACCCAGTCACATGTAACTTATGGATACTGTTCGAAGTTGCCGCTTTTTGATTAAAAAAATACAAGCTCACTACGGCGCCGTTCTTGCAAACGGCACGTGTTCGTGCAGTGCAGGACGCAAACGTTCAGGGAAACGACCCGGTAACACTCGTAAAGCCTCGATAGGCAACAGATCTGTGCCATTTTGTTTTTTTTTTAAATCCGACTTGTAAACAAACAGCTCTGTTGACCTACAAGATGGCTAAGTTAAGTACTGAGGCACGTCATATATACTAAGTGACATATAAATCCGAACACCCAGTTTAAATGGTTTTATTTTAATAAAAGTTGGTGAATGTATTTATCTTACTGTAAATAACAAGTGAAAAAATTTTCAGCCTTATCAGTTGGACATTCCGGTTTTTATACTGCTTTTTTTTAATTCACTAACGCTCTAAAAATTAATATTTCAGCCGCAGTAAAGAATCAACGTTGGCGGATTTTGGTTCTTGACATCCTTTACGATCGGTTACGATGCCTAGAGTACTGAGACCTGTACGATTTCGTCAACTTAGTGAGTTTGATAGGGGCCGTATAGTTTGACTTCGGGAAGCTGGACTTTCTCTTCGGGCAATTGCAGTTAGAGTGCAAAGAAGTGTAGACACTGTGGTTAGGTGTAGTCAGGCATGGCTTCGAGAAGGCCGTACGCAAAGAGCAAGGGGCAGTGGACGCCGCCGTAGAACAACAGACCGTGAAGATTGCCGCCTAAGATTATTGGCCTTAAGGCGGCTCCGACGCAGTGAGTTTCAGGCCATTTACAAGGGTTTAGCTGCTTCGGAATTGACGCTCCATTTTTCTATATATTTGAATAAAATTTATACAGTATGTTCAGAAGACAATTGTCCAGGGTGCTATAGAGCCACTTTTCTAAAAAAAAATTTTTTTCAGGAGTTATGGTGGGTGGAAGTGCAGATAATTGTTGTTCGACTTCTCGATTTTTTTAAAAATAACCCAGAGGAAAAAACGAAAAAGTGGCTCTATAGCACCCTGTGGAGTCTTGTTTTTAGTGCACTGTGAAAATTTCATCGAAAAATATTCAAAAATGAAGCGTCAATTTTGAAGCGCGAAAACCTCTGCAAATAGGCTTTTACACGAATTTTATCCACTATCTTGTGCTGCCAGTCGAAGCAACGCGGCGGTGTGTACGGACTAAGAAAGGACGTATTCAGATAATTTGTTGTCCCAAGTTAAACAGTAGCAGTTTTGACGTCGGTCGTTCGAGATAAACATCGGACAAGTAAGTGACATTTTTAATAGACTTCAATGAAAGAGGGGAAATTTTTAATCGATTTTGATCATTTCTTTTTATACAATAGACCATGCTTCAGAGGTGATACTACAAAAAATCATTTTTGTTCAATCAGCCCAATATGAATATCAAATGGAAGCACTTGTACAAAACAGTAATACGAAAACAGTTTCAAATCAAGATGGCGGCCGTCACAAAATGGCGGATAACATACTTGCTAATATCTCAAATAAGAGTCGTCGCCTTGTAGAATACAGTACTTCACTAAAAATTTGATTCCAAGATTGCCGCCATTTCGAAATTGCGAGCTACATATTTTTGTACAAAACCCCCAATTTACATATCAAATGAAAAGACTTGACATGTGTGGTAAAATACAGAACTTTGTGACCAAAAGTTTCCAGGTGGTTGCAGGGTCATTGGAGGCGGTAATCTTTTTAGTTAAAAATAATAATTATAGTGAACGCATTTAACACAAATAAAATGTCACTTGCTGTTTAGCTTTAACCTTATGAAGTATCATAAAATAAACTTAACACGATAAGCGTCATGAGATATAATGCGTGTGTCGCACCTCATTTGACGCTTTGGGCCTCGTGACACACATGATATGTCTCACTGCTGGCAGTTATATTTGGCCGCGTAACGTAAGAAGTGTGCCATGCCGATGTGATTTTCTTACGGGAACCAAGAGTCCGTGGCCTGAGGGACCAAATTATACTGAATTGGAAATGAAAACATTAAAAAACACGTTGTTTATAGAGTTTTACAAAAAGAGGATATTCTACAAATCTAAAACAAAAAGCAAATCTTATAAAATAATCAGACATTCTCATTCAAAAATGAACAAAGTAATTTCACAGCAAATCAGTAAGTTATGGTAAATGTCGATATTCTAACGAACACAAATATGGAGGAACTCTTATAAACTAAACAGATTGACTAAGTCTTATGCAGGAATAAACAAAATACCGGTATAAATAAACAGTAATACAGATAAATATGGAATTACTACAACTACTATCTGATTCACTACCACTTGGAGAATACGCATCAGATAAGTATACATCCCCACATAACTCAGTACTGCCACTCTCTTCATCCGATAGTATTTCATTACACAATTGTTCAAGCCTTTTGTGCTCCGCTTCGTAATGCGACATCACTAAATTTGGTATTCAATAATTTATAAACAGTAAAGCAATTTGGACAAGATGACGTACAATACCAACAACGCTTCAATATTAAATGACACGAAACAGTGCTCAACGCGCGACATGATGCAAGTCTTGACTTGCAAAAAACGCGACGCGACTTATGTGCCAGGCGACCCGACTGGTCTGTGGGCCAAGCGACATACAACTGGTACCTCAGAAAAAATAATCAAAAAAGGGGAAAAATCATAGGATTTGAGAAAAAAGTCAAGTCAAAATATTAAACCGAAACTTAAAACAAGCTAATTTGACAATAATAACAGTTTGGCCAAGTGGACTGGATTTTCAGATTCTACTGTGGCGCTTAACGTGTCAATGTGACATTTCAATATTCGCCATCTAACAGACTAGATAAAGCTAGCCGATGCTACGTGCTATTGAGCCTGACGATTGACTTTTATTTAAATAAACAATATATACATAATATACAATAAATAGTGAACATCTGGTACTAGTACCAAAATCGAAGAGATTAGCACATCGCTGCTAAAGCGAGATCTGCACACCGCATTTGCCGACACGAAGGGGTTAGTAACGGCGTACAATGTAATATGCTAATCTCTTCCATTTTGGTACCCGAGTACAGCAAAAATAGCCAATTCTCAAGAACACTTTTTCTTGTTCAAACGGTTCTCTTGTGCCTTCAAGATCACATCGGGATCGCGGATTGGCATATTTCTGCTTTTCCTGGGATCGACCAGTTCTGGGAGCAAGCAGTTCATGTAGAAGAATTTCAATTTCTCTTCCATTTCATTTTTCCAGAAAACGTCATCCTTTTGAATGACGTCTATTTTCAAACCATACGGGGTCCAAACACCAAGCATACAGTACTCTCTTTGTGCAACGTGTAGCTGCCCTTGAATTTGGTAATACCACTACCATGTTTTTTATTTATTTCATCGTTTATCCAAAACGTAATTTTTTTGTTCAGAATGCCCTCTTCAGGGGTCATTTCTCTAGCCGACCATGGACATTTAATTTCTAGCAGACCTTTTTGGCCTATCAAACCATCTGGCGATGCTGCCAGAAATGGATGGGTCCTATCAATAAACAACCCGCAAGATTGTACTTCTGATTGCGAATTTGATTTCTCTATTCCTGCTTTTGCCAAGCTTTCATGCTTTTTTCCATAGTCACATGCATTGCTAAAGAATTCGGTTGGGTATATTATGGCATTTACTAGAGCTCTGCAACTTGTTGTATCTCTTCTTCTACAAACCTCACCAAACCGAAACGCAGTCAACCTCATTCTTCGATGAAGACGCCACAAATTGCAATCCTGAGATTTTGTGGCTTGCTCGATCTGGCAAATTTCTGAGTCGGTTTTTGCAAGTTTTTTCAAGAATTCTACCTTGGCAGCCTCTATATCTTCGTTGCTCATGTCAGGCTTCTCACAGAATTCCCCATAGGATGCGTTCTCTTTAGTATCACTATCTCTGATTTTAATTTTCCTTGGTTTCAGCTTCCTTTTCAGATTTTTGTGCGCTCTCCTTTCTTCAACTTTAGCAATCAAAGAGGTTGGACTGAAACTAGGGAGTAGCCGCTTTTGGATCACACAAACAGGCCGCTGTGTATTGTGGCTCACTACGGCTGCAGCACATCTTCCTTGGTAGGATCTCTTCTTGCAATAATTAATCCGTTTACCCCCAATGAATTTAGCTATGATTGAGTTAAACTGCTCTACAATATTATTATCGACGTCATGAAGTAAACTTACTGCATTTTTAATCAGAATTGCCAGAAATGATATCAGCCTCTGGTGCAAATCTAAAAAAAAAAGGTATACACACCTGAATTTGAAGATCCATGCCATCTGTCTCTGTTAGAGAATGCATATGCGAAACCTTGCTGTCATTTTTAAGCTAAAATAACATATAAAATATAGTTATAATAGTAACTACGTATAGTCTAATTTATTGGCAAAATGAATGCTAAAATTCATAATTGTTTTGGTACCTACCTTTCTATCTGGAAAACGTTCTTTTTTCCTGTGTGTATTTAAATGCGGCTTCTTCGAGACGCCACGTTTATTTCTCTTATTGTTCATTTTTGATACCTTGATAAGAAAGACACTCAACAATAACAACACAACAATAACAACACGATAATACAACAATACAATAACGGTAATAAGAGTAATAAGGGCTGGGTATACTATGCGCCAAAATTGGGAAACAGTCGTACGCTAGATCGTATATCCAAATCAAATCCGACTCT